ACGATGTGTTAAAGAACAAAACTTAAACAAAAACATAATCTCAGTCAGACATTTTATATAATATAAATACTTTCTTAGTATTAAATGTTAGAAACATTGTGTTAAAAAATAAAAATAAATACTCCTAGAATAGTATAGGTTAATATTAAAAAATAACATTCTACTAATCTTCATTAGTATCCAAACCGGAATTTTCAATAATATCATTTTGAATATTTGTTGATTGTAGTGCTATATATACCACAAACATTCACTAGGTACATATTTTGAACTAAGATCGTTTATATCTTTGAGCTTAGCCGGTTTTATAGCTAATGGTCCATTATAAAGTTTTTCTGATGGTAGTGTAAGATTTAATTGAGTATTTATTTTTTGAAGAATGAAATTTTCTTCAGCTGTTGAATTTACTGAGATACTAGCATGAAGTCCTTCATCTGTATATTTCATATAACAATAACTTAAAATAGAAAATTTAACTTTGTTTCTATTAGTTACTAAGTTTTTAGTGTGATCTGCATAATTTAATATCATATCTTGATGTACTAGAACAACAGAAATTTTTTTACAATTGGTTGTTATAAAACTTTTATACTCTTTTTTTATTTATTCTTTTTTTTTTTTTTTGTTTATAAATTTTTTTATTCAATCTGTTCAAAGTAAACAATAAGAACAATTGAGGACATTATATAAGAGAGTAAAGTAAATAAAAATAATAAAAATAATTAAAAATAAAAGTGACAGTGTTAAATGACAGAGTGTAGAAGCTTCCCAGTGGAGGTACTACTATATTTTTTTATACTCTTAAGGTAAAAACACACATTCTAGCTTTCTTCTTTTTTTTCTATTAACCCAAATGCCCAGTCACAGGGAAGGAAACTGTGACCAGGTTCAAGATAACAGTGAACAATTTTTCAACCCAAATAAGTTTTCCATTGCTAATGTGTATAAATATTGTACAAGGGCATTGTTTTTATTCTGAGCACTGCAGTTGTCTGTAAAAATAAATTCAGTTTCAACTTAGCTCTCCATTATTTCAGAAAAATAGTGGTGAAGAAAACTTAAGACTTAATTTTAGCCTTTTCGTCCTGTCGCTTCATTGTATAGAAAAAAATATAACATGGGATATGTGGTATATTCTGTTGGTAGTCAAAAGCCAATACATTCAATTTATTTGTATTAATTATTGCTTCTTATGCTTTTTGTTTAATATCAACATAAAACTTATTGGCCTTCATAATAAGTAATCGTTTTTAAATCGTTATGAATGCCCATTGTCACAGTATCATATTATGAGATGTTCGTGTAATGTATAAACAGCATCACCAACCAAACGTGAGTTTTTGGTAAATTTAGTTGCATTATTAAGGTATTTTTTTAGTTCATATAATCTGAATACCCGTTGGTTATGCACTGATCCAACATTTCCAGCATAACAATGAATAAAACGGCATTGATGGTCGCATAAAACCTATTGAAAAATTAGTTGATTAACAGTAAATAAAAATGAAAATATAAACATACTTGTTTGAATTAATTGAATTGATTGAATTGAATTATGACCTTTTTAATTAACATAAGCTTCTTGGTGGTCATGTGGCACAGGAATGTTAATATATCCCATCAATCACTCCAAAAATATCTGGAAAGGTATTGATTGAAAAAAATCCATTTGACATTTCCTTGGTTTTTTCCTCATCTGACCAAGTGATGAAAGCTGGAGCTAAAATTTCCAAAGCAACCACAAATCTTCATATACATCATAATGCAGATGCTCGTCCCACATCAAATTTTTCACAAATCAATCTAAAAATGTAATAAATTAATATTTTTGGATAGAACTAAATATAATTAAATATTTTTGCATTATAAGGTAAAAATAATAATATATATGTATAAAAAATTACCTATAAGAGTCAGGAATAGCCATTTTCCAAATTGCAATTAAAAACTGTTTGTTAGATGAAATAAATTTGTAACCCGGCTTTTTTCTATTTAACTTTGGAGAAATTAGGGTCAATACAGATTCAAAGGTGATTGGAAGCATCCTGAAAATAATAGAATATTATTTAATGAAAGATATTTAAAATTTACCAGTATTTATAAATTTAATAATTATAGTATTTTAATTAGTAATAAATATCAACCTTTTAAATTTTAAATATTGAACATTGTAATATTTCTAATTTCTATATAAGTAGTTCATAATAGTAAGTAGTACATAATAGTTGTAGTATAGTTACAGATATCATATTTCTAATCAAATTTACAAACTGAAACTGTTCTGAGATCTGAGAAGGTATTAGGATAAGTCAGTGCCGGGTTAAGGGGGGGGGCAAAGGAGGCAGCTGCCCCGGGCGGCAAATTTCTAAGGGCGGAAAATTTTTAAGGCGAAAACATAAGATTTAAAGTGTTCTAAAATGAATGTATAAAATACTAATAGTGTGCTACAAAGTATGAATTGGAATGATCTTATAAAAGAGTTTGTGGCCTAGAAAGCTAGAAAAAAAATATAAATTTCTAATATTAAATTTACAATTTGTATTTAAATGTTTATACTAAAACTGCACTGTAACCTTTATTAATAAAGTTTTATTAACCAAAAAGCTACTGGTGCTTTATGTAACTTTTTAAAATTTATATGTATGAAGAGCGAATGTGTCAAACGTTCTATGTGCCGAAAACCAAAATGTTCAGAAAACAAAAAACAATACAACATTCAATATAATATATTATAATATTGTGTAAAAATATATGTTATATATTTACACAACATTTATAGTCTAGTTAAGTTCAATTATTATAATTATCATTTAATATTAGTTAAAATTAAACATTTGCTAATGACAGTTTCAAGTTCCAAATCATATAATATTAAAACTCTAAGTGCCAAATGGTGTGATTATTGTTCCAAGTAACAATATTTTTTTGGAAATCACAGAGAATTATTCTTTATTATATTAATATAAAAAAATTACGACTTTAACGTAAAATAAACATATTTTCTTCATTAAGTCATTGAAAATTTAAAAAACATTATCCTTTTAAGTATCACATATTGATAAATAAAATAACAAACTGAATAAAAATTAAAAAAAACTCTTGATTAAACTTTATATCGACTTGATACATTTTAGAACGTAAAATAAACATATTTCCTTCACTTTAGAATATAACAAAAATCAATTCGTTTTTTAATTATAACAAATAATAAATTAACAAATCTAATTAAAATTTAAAGAAAACTCTTGGTTAAACATAATAATAACAGTCAAAGAAGTTCAGGACGTAATATTTTTATAAAAGTTTCTATGCTCTTCGGGTAGAAAAGGAATCATGGCCAGAAGATCTTTTTTCTTCTGATTTTTAAGTTGTTCTGTAAGAGCATTTCTTTTAAAAACATCAAAACCTTTCCAATGTTCTTCATCAGAAAATGTTTTTTTTATAATAGACTTTTTCGGGAGTCAAAGACGAAACTTTAATCTTTGAACATGTAGAAATTGGTGACTTGGTAGCGTTCAGAAAATTATTAGCAATATCTTTAAATGAAAAAAAGTGGTTTTCGTCCATCGGAATCACTTGAAATGGATTTGTTAACTTTGCTGTTCTTACCATCTTTTGCAAATCAGAAGGAGCGAAATTTGTACACACTTGACGTCTTTTTTCGATTATAGCAAAATCACGATCGCAAGATAAAAACGAGTGACCACTTACATTAGGTACTAACCTCGATTAATGGTTTCGGGATTGCCTGAATTATATGACTTCTCCTCGTCACATACGATTTACCACTTATTCTTTGTTTAGTCTGTTCATTTCTTTTTTTCTTACCACTTCGTAAATTTACACTTTCAGTCTCCATAATATTGGTAATAATTGTTGTAATTTGAAAATAGAACAAAATAACGATTACAATAACATCAGTATTAGTAGTTTGAATAATGACAACGGATTATATCATAACATTATTGTTATCAATTATCATAAAATAATTGAATTCGTGCAAGGCACATAGAACGCAAGGTTTATAGATAATAGAGGTTGCCTCAAAGTGATGTAAACAAATCAAAACCCACCGCTCCGTCCCCTATCTAGTGATGTCATCCGTCGTACAAAATACAGTGGCTATTTAGTGTTTGTATGACACGTAGTAGTACAACAAGTTAAAAGTTTATAATTATTAATAAAGTTATAAAGTATTTGTATTGGTTTTAATGTTTTTTGGTACAATATTTGTATATTAATATTTTTCTCTAAATCCTCGTTCTATGTATAATGTATATAATTATAAAACATATTTCTTTTAACATTATCTTATATGAAAAGTAATTATGTGAAAATGAAATAATGGCATATTGTAAAAAAAGCAAACTAATTAGCTCTAGTTTACTATGCAATGTATCTGCCATATGCGTTGCATCAATTAATATACATTGTTCATCCTAGGGCCGGGAACTTGATGAACTAATACACAAAAATGCTAAAAAATGCAAAATAAAAATTATACCATTAGATTTTATACTCCATGAATCAAATTTATGTAGCAATGAACAAATTATTAGAGCAAAAGAATTAAAAATACAAATGCATCAAGTTTCGGGCCCTATTCATCGGTATGATGAGAATAGAAATAGCTTAACCATGAGCAACTTGAACTACTTGAGCAGTTCTTCGTCATGATACTTACTAGACATTTCCTGTACGTGACACACATCAGTATGAGCTCTTAGTTCTCATGGAGCTGGACGCTGGTCGTTAATATGACAATATTATTGTTTGAACTACATCATAAATCAATTTTAATAGCAGTTTTAACAAATACATTTTTATTTTGTATAATATGCATACATATCAATTATAAAGCATTATAGTTATACATATTAATTAAATTTATTAAACATAATATTTTTCATCATTGATATTATAATAATATAAAAGTAGTAATAATTATGCTTAAGTAAAATACAAAAATCAATAAACATCAATAATTATATTTTTAAACATTTAAAAGTTGTGTAAATGATATAAAAAATAGTTTAGTCATTAAAATAATACTCAGTGAAATTAAAAGTAATAATTACATTTTTTAGTCGTTTACATTTAAGTCATCAGTCTTTTTAATTTTTGTAACCTTTGGAGCTGAAGTTTTGCTTTTCTTTTTTTATTTAATATATTTGTATGTTGATTTAAATATTTCATACGAATAAGTACTCTTTGTTTTACATATGTCTGCACAACAAAGTTATACTTTTCTTCAATTTCCATTCTCTTAATAATTTTTTTGGACAAATTTTTAACAACTTTAGGTCCTTTGGGAATTTGTTCTTTGGTAATTTTTTTGAATAATCAATCAATTCTAAATACATGAGTTTTAAAATTATCACTAGGTAGTATCAGTCCACCATAGGACAAATTGTTTATCCATGATGGCATAGTATATTCATGACCATTCTCGTTTTGAGCAGCATTATACTGAGTTGTAGTTGAACCCAATTCTGAAAACTGTTGTCTATATTTTTTTGCAACCCAGCCGGCCAAATATTCGATTGCATAAGCTACTCATTTCATATTTATCTTCGCTGATAATTACAGTAAAACTACTTTCACTTATCGTATCTGTACTACTTTCAGTGTCTTCATGTGTTTCTTTTACAATATCTATTTTTAAATCAATTTGTTTTAATGACTTTGCTACCATAAACTCTTCATTATTGTTATCAGTGGTATTAGCTTGTTTAGATACGATACCAGGATTTTTGCCTAAAATGATCATCCGTAGTCTGAACAAGACGTTCAAAGGAGATGGGTGATCATTAAGTCCACCTCTTGATCGTAGTTGTGAAAATAAGTTTTCAAGAGCATCTTGGTTTATTTAACTAGTTAGTAAATATTTGAACCCAGATTGTTGTAACCTAACAAACCCGGCACTGGGATCAGTTTTAAAATTATAGATAAGTTATAGAAAACAAATTAGCATCTGGAAAATGTCCATAATAAATAATATGAGTGGTGAATAAGAAATCAATAGAAAAACAACAATTATGTGTAGATCATGCATTTGAGAGTCACCAAATCAACTATTTAATTATTTAAAAACTTCCTCCCTGAAGTGAGATTTGAATTGTCTATCATTGAATAATTCAATGATAATCACAATTATTGTGGTACTATGGTCTCGACATAATTCTACGACCGAGAGTCGCAGTTGTTACGGGCACACAAGACCATACATTACGAGACAGAAGACTGTCTGCGTACACATGTTATATTATATTATAACCAAAGGGTAGTCTTAAACATAATGCATACACGGGGAAATATAACCAAGGTAAAATACATTAATAATCGGATGTGGGGCGTTATCAATCAATATGATAGATGTGATAGTTAAAATAAGGAATGCGTGTGGTTCATGTATTAAATAATATTACACAATAAATATGTGACAGATGTTCATAATTAACAAACAACCCAAGGATGGACATATAACAATTATTAAATAAAAGCTAAATCAAGTACACAGTCTAGCGCTCATGAAAGGCTCGCACACGTTCCACTTATCATAAGCAAAAAGATTGTATGTGTTTGTTTTCTATCGTGGAACGGTTCATTAGCGTGAGCGTCGTGAGTACGACCGATGCTAGCGTGTAATCGTCCAGCCGGAATGCACCTATATGTTTCGGTTACAGTTTGTCACCACTACTATTGCATCAGTATAACCGGCCGCTGCTTGTACTCACAACTGGTGTCTTGGTAACACTGCTGTTTTGTTGTTCCCGTCACCGCACCACCCTCTATAACGCTGGACACCACATTGTGTGCGCACACACGTGTATACGTTTACCGTCGCCATTACGCTCCTTTTCAAACAGCCCATCGTGCTTTTTCTTGATACTGTCTGTTTTCTGTTATTTTTTTTTTTTTTTTATTCAACGCGTGTGCCGTTCGTTTTCTACATTCGCGTATGTTATTAATCGCCGCTACGTCTTTTACATGCGCTCGTCCGGAATTATTGTGAAAACGTTGCCTCTTCTTTTTCACCACTTGTGCTCCATTGCTCTCTACCGCCTACGCACACATACGACGTGCACGCACTTTTCGCGTTTTCGGACACCATTGTTTGTGCATCTTCGTTGTCTCACCTTTGGTCCTGCCTTAGCGATCAATCTTGCGCCGTCGCCGCAGCTTTGTCCGCCATTTGCGTTCGCCATCACTTTGGTCACATTTTACTGTCCAGGTCGTATAATGTTTTTATTTGTTTGTTTTTACTGTGCGCCCTCTGAGGACATTTTATTATAAGTATATATTCCCTCCTTGGCCCTCTAGTATATACGAATACACTATTGTAACCTTTATTAGTATTTTTTCACATACTTATCAGGTCACTAAAATAGGTATACACTTAATATTATTAAATCATACAATTAATTTATTATATAAATTTCATAGTCTTCAAAAAGTATATAAAATAAAACTATATAAATATTAACAATTAAATTATAATTTAAGTTATTTGGCTTTGGTTTCTAGTATTTTTATCAAATGTTTCAATTGTAAAGTGTTTGAATGAAAAAAAAAAAAAAAGCCTCAAATTAATACCACGCAGTTTTCATGGACTCTGCACAGACTGTCCATCTTGTTTTGGATCCATTTCATACATATATATTTAGTGGGTATATAATATATATAGCAACTCAAATTTTATATTCTGTTAATTAAAAATATATTGACTGCAAATGTCCTAACCTTCATAGAGTTGCATTTATAGATTAAAATTAAAATAACTCGTTGATCGCCATGAGATCTTGTATGAGATCTCAAAATACCTAGTCCTGACCGCCAAGGGGTTTTTCATAGGTTTACTCATAAAAATTTGTAGACAAAACATTGTCTGATTTTACTTAAAATTGTACTTATATTCAAAATTGTTCACCTAAAACATTGTTTTAGATTATAACTTAATATAAGATGAGATCTCATATTAAATCTCATGGCCGTAGGATGTCACCTCTTGAAAAACTAATATTTTGACAATTACCTTGAGATCTCAAACTAAATCTCACTATAAAATAGTATTTCAATTGAGATTTAAGATTAAATCTCAAATAGAATTTTATTTATTTCTAAAATAATACATTATTTGAACAAAAAAAGGAATAATAATAATATTATGCAAACAATCTCTGAAAGTAGGTATTTATCTTATAAATTACAAAATAATAACCAAAATCATAACTTTATTATGATAAAAATTATACAACAAATGAAAACATAACTTTAAAACTTTTGTAATTAACAATAAAATAATATTAATATTTCTTTTATAGTTCAATAAATATAAAGTATATTTATGTACCTAAATAATGATATAAAAAAATATTCTTATTTAAAACAGATTAAATAAATTGCTGATCACTACTATCTAGTTATTTTGTAATTTTGTGATCCTTAATAAAACATTTTGTACAATAATATTTGTTATAGGCTAGGCATTTAATTTGTACTTTAAGACTAAATAGATAAGACCATATCTAAAATAAAAATAATTTTAAATATATAGTGCAAATATTTGTTATTTATTATAATATTATTTACCAAAATTTGGATCATCATTTTCATCACTATGAACAATTTCATCTACTCCAGATAATTCACCTTCTAAATTATATATTTTTATAAATAAGTAGTAAATAGATACAAGTTTAAGCAAAATATATTACCATATATAGATACTACATTCACATGTTGGACATTATTAATATATTGTTTGCTAGAAGTAGAACCTTTAACAGTAGAACATTTAAGTTAATAAAATACTTTTATTAAATTTAAGGTAAAATAACTTACTTGTAGACATTATTTCAGCATTTTTAGCATCCTAATTGGGGTCATT